TYTCTCYTCTGCYCCCCTGACGTGGCWAWCTCTCYCTSCCTCCCTCCCTCCCTCCCTCCCTCCCTCYCTCYCTCYCTCTCTCTCTCTCTCTCTCTCGCTCGCTCTATCTCTCGCTCTCTCCCTCTCTCGCTTTCTCGCTCTCTCTCTCTGCCTCCAAATTCTTCGCAGTCTTGAGCTCTGTCTTCTTCATCATTTATGTCGACATGTTCTATATGAATCTATATTAGTATCATTACCCTTCTTCTGCTCGTTTTCCCCCTGATCACAGAGCTGCTCTGCTCTTCTTTCTCGTCTTACTTTTTCTTTCTTTTCTGCTTTTTCTTTGTTTTCTGCGTTTTCTTTGACTTGGGATCTTCTCTTGGGGAGATGTGAGAGCCTTCTGAGTGTCATCATTGTTCGCATTTAGTCTTCTCTGTGTCATTTCGAACGGACGGTCCAATTTTAGAGGATGTCATTTCGAAAGGACGGTCCAATTTTATCAGATGATGTCCCAATTTTATCAGATGATGTCCACCAGCACCAAGACATTCGTCAAAATAATTGGAATATACATAGCAAAAAAAGAATTAGCGTTGTCATTGAAACGAAAAAAATGGCACACATACAATGATGGAGAAAGAGAAAAGGAATGCGGGAGAGAGGGAGTGATGCTAATGCTCTGTTTCCTTCTCGGCCTCTTTACATAGAAGCGTGCAAGCTAGTAAGCTACTACATCCTTTGTTGGTTGGGTGGATGGGTGGCCTGCGTCTGACAATAATTACAGCAGTAATTCATACGCGATAGTGACATGCATCTGACAATCTTTACAGCACTAATTCATACAAGATAGTGACGTGCATCTGACAATATTTACAGAACTAATTCATACAAAATTTTTGTTGAATTCTAACGAAATTGGGGTTATCGAGAAGAAAATCCAAGATTTTTTGACATGTTTGCATCGCCACCGCATTGGACTGTTGATTATACTTTGGCGTCTTGGGGACGGTAGACTATGTACCCGAATCTTTTGTCATTTGTTTTTGCACCCTTGGATGTATTTTGACAGTCCGTTACGTCGAGATACATCAGATAGTCTAGGGGGACTCCAGAGTCCAGACTGTCAATGGTCCAATGTAGCGGGAGCACAAAAATGCTAAAAGTATTGGTCTTTTCTTATGGAAGCCCAAACAATTTCGTAAATAAAAATCCAAAATTGGTCAGTTATATTTTCACTTGATGGCTGTTTTTTTTTTTTTTTGGGCTAAGTTTGTCAAGTCAAGTGCGGCGGCGGCGGGATCTCTTTTGTGGGGCGGCACTTTTTTTCGGTTAATACGCTAATTTAAACTAGAGTTGCGCTGCAGCGGCTGAATAACTAGATGGATTGAACTCAGTGCCCCCGCTTCTTCACTTCTCCACTTCTTTCTTTCTTTCTTTCTTCCTTTCTTTATCTTCCTTTCTTTCTTCCTTTCTTTCTTTCACTCTTTAATTTTTGCGATCATCTTATCCAGTCGTATGGGGTGTTATCCTTTCTTGCCCTTTCTTACTCTTTCCTGTCCTCGTTTATCGTTTCTTATCCGGTGTAAATTTTGTCGTTCTGCAGGGAGCATGACGAAATAATGGATCTATACGACTGATGCATGTGAACCGGCATTTCGTATAGAGGCTGGAATGGTCTCTACCAGTCCAGCGAGTTCGAAAACAGAGGCCATCCTTTATTGGACGCCGGGTATCGTCGTCATCATCATCATCATAGACTCGAGTGGTGGTCCATAGCTGCTGAGCTGCTGTACACAGGTCATGCCCAAGCTTGTGGGTACTCCGATAAGTAGCGTTGTGAGGAAGGAGGAGAGAGTCGTGCGCAGACTATATCTTTCCGTTCGAGCGTTTTAAAAAGGGGGGGGGAGGAGATAGAGAGACACACACACAGAGAGAGAGAGAGAGAGAGAGAGAGAGAGAGAGAGAGAGAGAGAGAGAGAGAGAGAGAGAGAGATTCCGTGCTTTTTCCATGCTCATGCTCTCCAAGATTAAACAAGCATTATTAAGATTTCGACAAATTGTTAGTTTCCGTTTTTAAGTTGGGCGATATTCAACGTGGATTGTGGCATCATTGTGCAGACTTGCATCTAGTGGGAAATGGCGGGCCTGAAGATTGGAAATGGCAGTGCTCACGATTGTAGACGCCGGGCTCCGTGATTTTTTTTTGTTTTTGATTTATTATTTCTTTTAATTGGGAAGCTATATCCAGATTAGCATTAGCACGCTCGCAGCTAGTCTGGCGAAAAGTCGTTGACTCATTGGGGACGGCAAAACGTCTGAGGGGATGTACTCACAGTTACTGTAGGACTTTTCAGAACGACTTCTGGACGTAATTCCGGTCCGATACAGCGAGTACAAGGCGTAGTTGTGGCCAGATGCGTCAAAATCTTGCAAAGGTTAAGCCTGCAAAGGGAAAATATTGAGGGGGGGAGAAAAAGAAGGGAAAAAAAAAACGAGTCTTCGGAGGTCAAAATCTTGAGACAGAGGTGATCAACTCAAAATTAAAAAAAAAAAAAAAAAAAAAAAACGATCGAACCAGAGGGGGCCTTACCTGTAGTCGGCGGTTTTTTTGGGTTAATTAGGGGGAAAAGACTGATCAGCTAAACCGGAGGATCGCTATGGCTTGGTATGCCTGCTGCGGGTTTTGTATCCCGACCCAATTACTGCCGCTGCTGATCGGGATCGTTGCCACGTGGGACCTTCTCGCTAGCTCATCGTGCGCAGAAGGAGCGGCTGCCAAGTTCATGCCAGGTGTCTCGGTCGTCCGCAGGGACGACCGGATGGGCGTGTCGTCGGCAGAAGCACGACCGGTCGGTAGCCCTGATGGCAACCTCGAAGCCTCTGCAGGCCGGCGGGAACTGATCTCCCTGCACCCGTTGTTTGTCAGGGAGAAGAGCGGGCCGCTGGTGAAGCACCCCGTTATGCGTGCTACTGGTGAGGCTTATTGGTGCGGATCTGCTATATTCCATCTCGTGGTGGCAGAACCCTCCCAAGTGGACATGGAAGCGGATAAGGCAATGATCTATTATGTCCTGGACGAGTTGTGCATAGCCCCGAACGCATCCATCACAGACAGGGCGATATCCATCAGGAACGCAAGTTTCTCTCTGGCTGATCGATCACCGTCTCTCTTGAATGCTCATGACAACAACACGCTCGTAACCTATTGGTGGCCGGCTTCCTCGCCCAATGGGACAAAGGTCTCCGAGCGGCAACTCCTGAAGTTGGGGTTGAATATGAGCTCTTGGGTGGCTGTCAAGACCGTCTTCTACTACGGCCTGGACTTGTCGAGATCGCAGAGCAACCTGGTCGTCAGTTCTCAGCCCTACGATGTTGGCCGCATGCGCATCATCACCTCTGTCTCTGTGATAGATGGGTCGCGATCGTCAATCGATCTGGGTTTGAGCTCGCTGGAGAGCTTGGCGCTCGATCCCGCCAACAACACCCTGTACATATCCGACAACATCGTGCCTTCGCCGAAGATCCTCTCCGTGCCTGTGTCCGAATCAGGTCTTCCCACAGCTCGGGGCGACCAGTCCCAGGTGCTCGGTACGTTTGGGGATACCAAGGTCTCGTCGATTCGTTTCGGTCCCAACAGCTTCGTCTCCGGCGGGAGTTGCATGTACTTCCGCGACGACCAGCAGCAGCGCGTGTGGGGTTTCGATCCCCGACGCTCCTCCTCCTCCTCCGACGCCACGCTCGTGGCAGGGTCGGGGCACGACGTGCAGAATGTCGATGACGCCAACACTACCTTCTACCGCATGCAGGCGCTGGTAGCCACACCCGATGGGTGCAATCTCTTCGTCACGGACGAGATGGGCGGGACTGGAATGGTTCGATGGCTGAAGCTAGAGCGGCCCTGTAGCCTGGCAACACGCGTGGAGGTGGTGGCCAATCACACCGGCATAGGGTCGTCCAGCTTGGCCTTACACGTAGCTGAGGGTCGGGTAATTCTCTTTCTTGGCTCGTCAAATGGCGACGTGTTTCAGCTGGTAATCAACGAGGAGCTTCTAGGGGGTTGCGCCTCGGATCCTCCCCCCCTCGGCAGCGGCAGCAGCCCGCCGCCATCATCGTCCCCCTCACTCCCCCTCCCCACTCCTTCACCTGCCGAATCCCAGCCGAACCTGCTGAAATCACCGTCCTCATTCCCCCCCCCAACTCCATCTTCCAAACCTAAATCGAACCTAGCGCTCATCATCGCTCTGTCCTTGGGTGGAGTCGGCTTAACGACCGTCCTTGCCCTTCTAGGCGCTTTCTGCTACAAGAAGCAGGCTAGCGGACAGAAGTCGCGATCCCGACTGGGTGAGCCGCAGGCTGGGCTAGCCTTCGCCAATGCCTCCTCGAGGGCCAGCTCGTCGGTAACTGCCGCGTCGGGATCTTCTCCATCCGTCGGGAGCGGGAGCATCGTGGACGGGTCATCGTCGACCACTTCCGACGGTTTAATGAGGCGCAAGCGAACGGAGCTCTCTCCGTCCAACGTGCAGCGCTTCGAGCTGAAGAGCTTGGCAGACTGCACGGACGACTTCCATCCCTCCAAGCTCATTGGCGACAAGGGGGCGTTCGGCATAGTCTACAGGGGTTCCATAGACGGCAGGGAGCTGGCCATCAAGGTGATGACGGGCGAGTTGACGGACGTCAAGAAGGCACAGTTCGTCGCAGAGGTGAACACTCTGAGCAGGTTGAACCATGCCAACCTCGTCGAGCTCGTTGGGTTTTGTCAGGAGGGAGAGAAATTCATCTTGGTGTACCCTTACTACGCGGGGGGAAGTTTGCAGCAGCGATTACACGCCGACACGATACAGAAAGAGCAAGAACAGGGAGAAGAAGCACAAGGACAAGAAGCCGTCGGGCACAACAACGAGAACAAGCATGATTTTTCGCCGTTGACGATAGAGGAGCGCATGCGCATCGCTTTCCAGATTGCCAAGGGACTAAGCTACCTGCACGACGGTGCAAGGCCGGCGATCATTCACCGAGATATCAAGAGCAGCAACGTGCTGCTCGGGGAGGGAGAAGGGGACACGGTCAAGGCGGTCCTGGCCGACTTCGGCTTGGCGGCCATCGGGGAGAGAGTGTTTGGCACGGGCTACGAGCACGCCGTGCAGACTTCGCACGTGGGGGGTACTTTCGGGTACATGTCCCCCGAGTACAGGCTGTACGGCAAGCTGTCGGAGAAGAACGATGTGTACTCCTTCGGCGTGCTTCTCCTCGAGCTGCTGACTGGGCGAAAGGCTGCCTGGCCGGCAGCATCGGGGATGGGATGGGAGATGCTGGCCACGTGGGTCGGTCCGTTCCTTTCAGGAGGAGGGGGTGAAGGAGATAGGGATATCGAGGGGATCCACGACATGCCGTTTGCGATTCTCGATCCTTCCTGCCGCGACCAGGTGGCGCGTGAGCCTCCCGCCAAAACCATGGTGATCGAGGCCTTGTCCCTGGCGGGAGATTGCGTCAACGAGCAAGGCAGGCATCGGCCCGCCATGAGCATCGCGGTGCAACGCCTTCGCGCCACATGTGAGCATGCGGGGATAGCCTTGTGAAATTCAACTCTTTTCATCCCGCATCAATGGCCCCTAGATAGTTTGTTCTTCCCCCGGAAAGGAACGCAGGCTCCTTTTCGCTGCATCTCTATTGATGACCGTACACACCGTTAATGACGGTGCGGCCCTTCTATTGATGACTCAATCACTGCCGCAGCGCCATAGCCCAGTCTCCATAGCTGGCTGGGGCTTGGATGTACAGCAAGGCGCAGGGGTGGTCTTCGGGCGTCGAGGGAGAAGATAAGAGGATGATGATGATGATTATGTGAGGGCACATACCTGGTATTGGCGATGGTCTGCATTGGTCGACATCTTCAGGTACTTCGTTCTCTGCTGACGTCAACAGTTGCATTGTCAATTAGTAGGCAGATAGCAGCTGTGTAGGGAGTAGGCTGCGCGCAGAGCGCCAAGTAGGGAGAAGGGCCTGGATACCTACGTTGGTGATGGCGAGACCCAGTTCTCATTGACAATCTGTTTCGGTGTTACGATTCTCCAATGGTGTTATATTGGTGCAATGCTGCTTTCTGGACACGTAGATACGTTCTGGCTTTCAATGTGATTGTGCAATCTGGATTTTGTCATCTGCCGCTGTTGCTCATTTTCCTTGCAATTTGGTATCAGAGCTGGTTCGAACTGCGCTTTACTTGTTCTTCGCAATATCTGTTCGGTGCTTTGCATGAGGTGTGGGGCAATGATAAGGCTTGGGCGTTGGAGGATAGGCGTTTATGAAAGCATGAGTCTGCTTCCTCCCAATTGACCAACATCACATTCTTCGGGTCTGACTTCCATCGCTCAAAACCCTTTTCAATCTCTTCCATCAGTAGCTGAGCACGCTGCCCTAACTGCATAACGTCTATGTTGTTGGAATTTAGCAACAACCTTGAAACTCGATGGATATGACCTAGGCAAGAAATTACACGCCCCTCCACACAAGTTAAATCCAATCCCAAGCAGGTGTAGGCCCCCTCCACACAAGTTAAATCCAATCCCAAGCAGGTGTAGGGCTGGACCTCTTTCTCGGCGGCGTTGCGGTGGTTGCACATAATGTCAGCTATCGATTGAGTCCCCAACAAAATCAGCGAAATTAAAAGTCATTGGGAGATTGAAAACGACTATCTTCTCAAAGGAAAAATGAAAATCCCTGAACCCAAAAGAAATGCCGCTAAATTTGGTGATCTTAAAGAAGCTTTGGGATGATAAAAAAAAAGCGGAAGGTTTCAAAATGATTATGTCATTCCAAGGGGAAAAAAAAGGATGAATCCAGAAGTTCATCGGATTTAAATATGTCTAGAGCGACTCAAAATTTCGATGAATTGAAAAAAAAAACATCTTGAAGAAACATGTCTTTGTGATCGAAACACTTTCCTTTAGCAATTGCTAATGAATGAACAACCTGAACTGAACACCCGGTCTTCCCCACATCGAAAAATCAGGGGGAATGGCAGTACAGGTTCATGAGGGCTATCGATAGGACAGACTCCGACAGAGTGGAGAACCGGCTCAGGGGCAAAAATAGAAAATGCCAATCGCCACCACGATTTATTTTGCTGTCAATTTTTTTTTCCTGATATTTTTCCTAGAAAGATCACAACCTCATCTACCAAGATACAAATTTTCAGATTTTTCTGTGCATTCCTCTGGGTGCGAAAAATCGATGAAATTGGAGTATTTTTCCTTTGGCTTATAGGTGGCAGTGGCCAAAATAAAAAATGCGCCAAATTGGACAGGGAAGGCTTTGGCTATGGTGGCAGAGGTTGAAGCGCCCAGTGCCAGGCTATAGAGAAGAGAGAGAGAAGGATGTAGAGGAGAGAGAAGAGGGAATGCATGAAGAACCGACATGAGAAACTCACCTATGACTATGGTGGACCGTCAAATTCACTTCCTTGTCAGCACAACTGATCTTGGACTTCAACGAGGAGCATGGCTATGATAGAGAGATATATTAGAGGCATAAGGCGGATTGCATTGTGCTTTGGGAAATATGAAACCCCCCCGCAGCAAAATCTTTGTTTTCATTTCCACCAGGAACGAGCCCTCACGGGGCCTTGTCAGACATACACATGTTCCAGATAGAAGCCCTCAGCCAGCAGAGTGCCCGCCCTAAGTGAAGGCGGGCCTGAATATTCATTAGAGGCCAAAATTCGACATTTTCATATGCGGGTACTCAGGTTGTTGCAGCCCGCCAGTTGGTTGAGTGCACTTGTGAACCTCACTAAGCTGCGTCATACAGTTGGCCTAGGCCTTGGCAGTTGCGCCTGGGCACATTCACACAATGCAGGGCCGATACATCACGAAGTGGGCACAAACCCATGCAAATGCTGAATTGTCTATGTACCTACCCCGGGTCCTGTGCAAATGCAACAAACGACCCAAGTCTGGAGACTCAAACCGTGCCCAACTGTAAACGGCCTTGGGCCCGGACGCACCCACTGGGGCCCAACCTGAAGCTGTTGTGTTAGACGTTGTGTGGTGCGCTGAGGCAGAGCGTGTGCCGACGCATATGTGGTGAAGAGGGGCATTGCTGGGCAGCGGAGCGCAAGCAGCCATAGTCGAGCTGCATGGCGCTAGGGGGTGAGAGGGCGATCGGTGGTCTTTAGGAAGGAGGCGAGTGTGGGTGGACAGGGTCTGATGAGGGGAGAGGAGATACGTACTTGGTACATGTAGGAGGTCGGCTATGGTGTTGACGTCATGTACATTGGTCTTCAAGAGTAGAAGTGAGCCTGTTGCGAGAATGCTGATGTAGGTAGGAAGTCAAGTAGTGAAGGCTGGGCGCTGGGCACCAGACAGAGAGGAGTGACTTTTGATATTGTGTTGGTGTGGCCTGCGGGCTTGAACATTGGCTCATTACTTCATTGTATTGCTCTTATTTGGATGGGATCTCGGAGCATTTGTGCTCTCTGTTTGTACACGACTACTTGGACATATGTGTGATTTCACAACTTGGTTTTCTATATATCGTTCCCACTCGTATTCCTTACAATTTGATATCACAGTTGGTTCGTGATCGTCGCTTACCTGACGCTGACGACATTGTTACTTGGTGCACTGATGATGCTTCATATGCAGTAAGGATGCTTTCGCGCTGGCTTGATAGAGCGGGGCCCAGCTAAAGCGGTCAACCGCTGGAACGATGTGGCGACAGCGTGGAAGTTGTGGCGACAGCGGATGTATGTATGATGATGAGAGCATGCTGACGTGGCATTTTGGCTGAGGTGGCACTGCATTGCGTTGTGGGTGGTACTGAGGCTATGACCAGTCATCGAAATGCACGTCTGTGATAAGCTCAGACCCGTACCACGCGGCTTCCCGTATCCCTGAGGAAAAATCCCTCGGAAGCCCCGAGGCACAGATGCGGACAAACAGGGGTTTTTCTTTCTTTTTGTTTTCGTTTTCTTTTCGAAACGGCTTTTTTTTAAATTCTGTTTGGTTAATAACTCCTGCGCGGGCGAATAGCGCCCGTGGTATGAAAACCAAGACACGGGGGCGGTTGGGACTTTTTGAATTTTTGCGCGCGCGTGCCTAAGCTCCGACTTCTTCGCGCGTCTCGCACCCCCGTTTCTTGCTTTGCATCCCCACGCCATCTTCCCTTCTTGCTGCGCGCGTTTTTCTCATGCCGGACTCTTCGTCTTCCTCTTCGCCCAGCTCGATCCTTACCCCGCGAAGTGATTGGCCGCGTAGTTGGGATGCTCGGATCAATGCGGAGAGCGGGAAACCGCGCGCCACTTGAATGGACACCCCAATCACGTAGGACCATGCCATCCCGCGGGTCGAACCCTCTAACTCCCCACCTTCCTCCTGTCCGGCTCATCTACAACCTGCACTGCCCGCACCTCGCGCTGACAACCCGCCGCCTCCCGCGCTATAAATTCGCGCAACCCTCTCCTCTCTCTCTCTTTGATCTCGGCTGCAATGTTGCGCGAGCTATGCGCGAGAGTCCGCGGCGCCCAACAGGCTCGACGAGCCCAAGGACGGGCGGAGTGACGACGTGGGGTGGACCCGCGGTAGTCTCGGGGCGAAGCAGTCGGAGGGACTGAGCAGTGGTGGGGATCGGACGCCGGCCGCGGCAGGGCCTTGTGGCTATGGTGGTTGGTGGTCTTGGGGAGTTTTGAAGGCTGCGCCTGGGGGCGGCAGTTAATTGAATTTTTTGTGTACAAGAAGGACTCGCTTTTATCTCCATTGCTGCTTTGTCTATGCATGTCGTGCGTGTGAAGCCCCGAGTGATGGGAGCTGGTGGTGCGCATGAGTGATGTCGAAGGTCCATGGATGATTAGATGTCCTGTCAAAGTTTGTTGATTGTCTGTATGCATGTGTGTATGTACTCGTCCGGGCGGGGAGGGGGAAACTGAACTTGGGGACCGTGTGCTTAGGAGTACGAGTGTGTTGATCCGGTTGTTTCGCTCCCCTTAGTGGTTTTTCCTGCCCTCGTGAGCGGTCTCGGCGTAACTCACTCTCTCTCTCTCTCTCTCTCTCTCTCTCTCTCTCTCTCTCTCTCTCTCTCTCTCTCTATCTCTCTCTCTCTCTCTCTCTCTC